CGGTCCCGCACTTCGTGCTTCACCTCGCTCGAAGGCCCGTGTTGTCGCACCCGTCTCGTTAAAGTTTTGGCCTCGTTGTGATTCGGCTCGGTTCGGATCGTCCGCGTACGTTTGTCCCTCATGTGTTTCGTCGTTGCGCCTCCGTTGTTGTTGTTGTTGTTGTTGGTTTTACAAAATTTTCGTCTGGTGCCGGCATGAATCAATTGCTAGATCTACTTGCGTTGTCTTCGCCCGGAGGGAGGGGGGGAGGGGGGTTCTCATGGCGTGTCATCGCCGCCAACCACCCCGGGATTCCTCACCGGTTGCTCGCTTACCGTCGCTGGTCATGTTGGTTGATTTGTTTGACGACCCAGGTCATCCTCTCCGTTGGTGATGCACATGGGCCTCCTTCCGGGCACCACTCTCTACCGGGACATTAAGACCTACCCTGGTGAGGGGGGGGGGGGAGGGAGCCGTCTTGTGTCTTGTCTTCTCGTGTCTTGACTCTCGTGTGTAGGTCGCGGAATCTTGTCATACGCACATCTCACACACACGTTGTCGTTGGGGGCACCTTTTTTGTTTTTTTCGTGTGCTGCCTTGGACGGGTGTTACAAGTGCCCTCGTTGCCCTTCGCGCAGACGATGATCCATATTGATTGGAAGAGCCGGGAGTGGTGCATATTGCACCTCTCCCGCCATATGATGTTGAACTTGGTGTTTGTTTCTTACCGCTCTTAGAAACCAAAGCCATTAGACATTCTCCTTCTTTTTGGGAGCTGCGCTATGTTTCTGAGCAAAATGTTCGCTTGTTTTCTCTCGATTTAGCTCGCAACTTACGTCCTACCTGTCAGGCAAGCAACCCAGTCGTGGCTCTCCGGCCCTATCGTATTTCCGAGCCGAATGTTGTTCCTGCGTTGCCAACGTGTTTCCCACCGATTGGCACGCCCTATTCGGAGGTAGTGATGCCGCCTGTATCTCTTTCTCCGTCCTGTTATTCCTACCTGCTTCTCCTCGCCCTCGACGACAATATTTCACAGTCCCCCCGGTTATGCGCTCCGTCCTCTCGAGGACGCGTGGTAAATGGTCTAACCGCTATGGCATGTAAACATAAGGGCACGCCCCCCCCCCCTCCCCCCCTCCCGGTTATCAGACGCGCAGCGCCAGCCCGGGGTGGAGGTGATTCGCTTCGGCGCTTCCCTGACGTTCGCCAACAAGGACGTCTTCCGCCGTGCGGTGATCAAGGTGGTGGAGAAGGCGGACGCCGAACGCCGCCTGGCGGAGTCGCAAGGCAGGCCGCCAAAGGTTGCTCTCCAGGTGAGGCGTGTTTGTACCAGGCACCGTTGCGACGTACATGTAGGAGAGTTGGATAACTACTGCCGTGCGTGTTTTACGGTTGGCGATCTGTTGGTGGAGTTTTCTGGGAGCCTCTGTGGCGGAGGGAGGGAGGGAGGGTGTGTGCCCCTTGCAGAGAAGGGGCCCAGCCAACGCGAAGCCCCACCCCCCTCCTCCCCTATTGTTTATTGTTGTTTCCCCCGTTCTGTTTTAGCTTCGTGCTTGGTCTTTCTAATACCATGTTCTTGCCGCTGCTTCTGTCGCCGCCGCCGCTCCTGCTCCTGCTCCTGCTCCTGCTGCTGCCGCTGCCGGCCGCTCTCTCGCGATCATGACTTGCTGCATATAGTACGTTATTTTAGACAGCAGTAGCATCCACGACCTCGACTCCAGCTCCTTGAAGACGCTGGAGGGGCTCGTGGCTCTGCTGGTCGACAGAGATCCTCCGATAGAGATGTTCCTCGCTCCCGTCAGCGACCCGCTCATGATGCAGGCAAGTTTTCGGGTGGTATATACGGAGTACATGTACTTTGTCGTTGTTGTCCAAACTCACAAAACTCATACAAAGAGGGATTTGCTTTCCTTCGCTTTCGGCAGCAGAGGTCACCCCATCATCCTTGACCGGTTGAGGTTTTACTGGCTCTCCTGTCACACCGATCCACCAGGTCGTGATGCGGGCGTTTTGTGTGTTGCGTCCAGACGGCCAGCCAGCAGCGTCGGTCACTGCACTGCTGTACTGTACTGTGCGCTTGTTGTGAAAACAGCTATTTGTCGATACTGCTGTGGGGGTTTTGGCGTGCAGTCGCGAACTCAGCCCCGAGCGGCCATTCCTCGCGAGGCTGGTATTGTCATTCGCTGTCGATGCTGTTGCTACTGCCGGTGACGGTGCGGCTGTTTACGCCGTGTGCTTCCGCCGTTGCCACGGCCGCTTTGTACGACGTGGTGTCTGTTGTGTAAATGATTTCCACGGAATCATTCGTTCGTTAAAGCTCTGCCTCACAACACAGTCAGCCAGGAAGAGGCAAGAAAAGAGGGGGTTGGTGGTGCCACGGATTGAAGCGTAAGGTTATGAAAACAGCGACAGGAGCCTCCTCCACAATATACCGCGGTGACTGCCACCCAAAACATTTTTTGTATTCGTTTTTCAATTGAGTACTGGTGTGAATGCAAATGCACCCCCGGCTTCATTGCATTGATGTCACCCCCCTCCCCACAACACATCTTCTTTGTGTGTGTGTGTGTGTGTGTCTCTCTCTCTCTCTCTCTATCTCTCTCTCTCTTTCTATCTCTATCTCAAGCTCTCTCTCTCTATTTCTCTCCCTCCCCCTCCCCCTTCCTCTTTCTCTCTGATCCCCTCTCTATTTGGCTCTCGCTTTCTCCCTCCCTCAGTACCCCTGCCTCTGTGTATCTAACGTGCCTACACCCCCTCACTCCGCCGCTTCACCTCTCTCTCTCTCTCTCTCTCTCTCTCTCTTTCTCTCTCTCTCTCTCTCTCTCTCTCTCTCTCTCTCCGTTCGTTGTGTCAACAGCTGCGCAAGTCCCCGTTGCTGTGCGCGACGCTAGGGCGGAGGTACTTCCTCTCGACCGCCACCGCCGTCACCTACGCCCTGCAGCAGGTCGCGGCAGGCCAGCTGGTTGCCCCCGCGAGCCTGTACCACAAGGTGATGAGCTCGATCAGCCTTGGCAACCTCGACGAGGGGGACCTGGACGACATCTAGCTAAACTCACCTTTTGTGGTGGAGTTTCAAGGTGCTACATGGTAGCCTTAGAGAAAGATGTGTTTTCTGTGGGATCTCCGCGTGATGTTCATCCCCGGAGATGCTTGGCATGAGGCGGGAACAAGCAGGTTCTGGACGACGCGTATCGGGCTGGAACCTCTGTTGTGATCCTGATCCTCTAGCCCAACGGAAGAGTAACTGAGGACCGGTCGGTTGAGGACGGTTTGGATTGTATGGAAGAGGAGCCACTGCCGGTATTTCTCCTCGCACACGGTCAGCGCCCTGAGTCTCTCATGCGCCGTACCTAAGCCCAGGGAAGTAGATTTGGGAGGGACATGTGGCAGAGGGGACCGAGGACGTAAGCGCTGGTGATCCAGGCCGAGCCAGCAAATTATACGGAAGCGCAGACGAACCGGGGCACATAACGTGAGCATGAGCGGCCGGGAAGCGCATGTCCTTGCTCTCGCACTCTCTGGTGCACGCTTGATCGACGAAACGGTTGCACCTTATATATGCGGCGGCTGTCCTCTTTCTGAGGATGTGGTGACACTTTGGGTGTGCCCGAACTTGAGAACGGAGCAGCCTGGCGAGTGAGGTATATTTGTTTGTGTGGGAAACAGGTGGAGGTAGGGGTTGGGTATCAACCGCGTTTTCCCCTGGATCATATCGGTAATACCTTGGTAAACCAGGCAGAAAGAGGTAAGAGACGGTTTGGTTTGTGATTTAGTGGTGTGTTTTTCGTGGCGAGCCATAGACCCAGGCCTGCACGCATAGGGCTACACGTTTTTTTTGGGGGGTATCACTTGTGACTGCGATGGATGTGGCTTGCTCGACAGCGAAGGTTTCTCGGCATTCCGTTTTCGGTTGGGCACGGTGTTAGTTGGTTGATGGGCCCATTTTCGTGTTCCGTATATTTCACAGCGGTAAGAGAAACTTTTACGCTCTGGACATATATTTGACGGCCGCGTGCGTCTTGTTGCTGTTTCTGTTGGTTATGTTGTCGTCGCTATTGTCGTCGTCAGATGTTTTAACATCAAGGTAAATTAATGCCATTTTGCGTGTTTGTTGGGGTTCGGGTTGTGTTTTAGCCGAGATAGATGGCTAGCGGGGCTTTGTGGGTGAAAGTGATGGAAGTCTGGAACAGACGGAAGGATTTTCAGTTGGGACTGTGTCTCAAAGTCGGTGGTGCAGCCGTTCTGCTGTGCAACCAACGTGGTGTCCTGTTCGACGCACGAATCACGGGTGGTATCATTGTTGTGTACCCGGCTTCCGAAACGGTGTGATTGTGATGGGTGTTTTCCAGGTTCTGCACTATCCACAGGCGTCGATCTCAACACTGCCGTTCTTCCGACGACAGAGTGCTTTCGACATTTTCGGTAGGCTCTAGCTGGTGTGCGGTAAATGCCGCTGAAAGGGGATGAATGACCCGACTACTTGTCGCACGAGACGCTTATGCGTGACGGCTTTTCTGATTAGAACACTTACATCGGCAGGGAGTGGAAGCAAGTGGTGAACCCTCTGCTTCGGTGGAGCATTGAAGCTCAACCACCCGGAGCATGACTAGAGACCACGAGCTTTCGCGAAGCGATTCTTTGTGAACGCTTCCATCGCTACATGTAAGCGAGTTGGTTTCGGAGGGAAGATGTTGGGAGTATCAACGCATTGGGAGGGACAACGCGGGGCCGCAAAGAAGGGAGAGGAGGCTACGAGAGTAGGCGTCCGACCGTTTTTCAAACTGGCAAGCCAGGGGATTGGTTGATATTTTTACACGAAGGGTCGAAGGTCGTGCGAGCATGGTTGGAATTGTCCACCGGGTATTTTCGGAGTTACGTATGCTTACCCTCTATGCGGCGATTCATTTCGAAGTGAAGTTTTCAGTGCCAAGTGCACCAAGGTTCTACTATGCCGCGTTCCGCTGCGGCAGGAGCGAGAACTGCTTCTTGCGTGTGTTGTCGAGTTTGCGTGAGACAGCCCTCAATCTCGTCATCTACCAGCAGTATTCTCGTTCAAGTTTGTTGCCCGTTCTCATTATCCCCGTTCGAGCTCTCGGTCGGGTTGCTATGGTTTAGGAAGGCGGGTTGAAGAGCTTCGGGAGGATAGGGAAACTGCTGTTTGGGATGGGGGTATCTTGCGGGAAAGACCGGCAGCATGTGGTATCTGTAATGGAAATTGTTGCTTGCGCGTGGAGCGCGGCTCATGGTGATTCGCCAACAAGCGTCTGCTTGTGTTTGGTCCGATGGGTTTTGAATCTGGACAATCTGAATTCAACTCACTAGCCGTGGGTCCCTGCTCATGTTGTTCTCGGTAGTGTCAGCAGTCAGGTCTTTCGCGGATCTCCGCTTTCTCGCTGTTGTAGAAAAGGCCCGGGGGGATGCCATGCCCAACGTAAACAGATCTTAAAACTGATTGTAGGCATCAAGGTGAATGAATCGCACTCAGAACCGAGCAGGGTGCATAAACAAGATTACAAGTTTCGGGCAAGTCATCAATCTGATTTTCATAACTAGGTTCGCCTCGCACGCGCGCTACAGGTTTTGCTTGTTTTTTTCTACCCTGCCGTGGCACTGAACCTGCGCTCGACGATGTTGAAGCAATTCTGAAGGTTTCAGTTTATGTTGCGACCATCGGAGAACCACAAAAGGATGTCTAAGGACGCTTGTTTGTGCACGTAACGTCGGAGTTAAGACTTGACCGTTTTCTAAGCAAGTCAACGACTTTCACACACACCCGAGGCGAGTGACCGGGTTCAGCTACAGCAGTGTGACCTTTTCTAAGCAACAGCAAGAGCGATCGAGCCCCGTTCTTGCCCCCTGCCCCACGCGCGAGCACAGCATAGGGGTCTCCGTATTAATCTCTCGTGATGGGTTTCGCCCGACGGCCGACTAATCGTTTCTTCGCGTATCTTCGATACCTCCTCCCCGTTCTAAGCTCCGCGTCCACGAAACTGTTGCGCAGCCAACCGAACTGCAGTTGATATATGCATACAACCGCTGTGTGCTCCGTTTCAAGACCACCCGCACTCACATCATCCATGATCGCATTGACATCGCCACCATCCTCGGTGAATACCCCATCCGCCTCCTTTGCATCGTGCCGCGGATGCCCCGCGCACGTGAACCCACCTTGTTGCGTGCCCGTGGCTGCAAGCCCCCAACAATAACTGGCACAATTTTAACGCTTTCAATGGAACGTTGCACGACTAAATCCGGCCCGTACCCGAGGAATAACAAGTCGGGCTTCATGCCTGGGAGTGACCGATTTTGTTGTAAGTAGCTTACAGGTGAGATTCACAATCCTTTTGTCTTCTCGGTCGGGCAGAGTGAGTCACTGCTGCGAAAGGTAGCAGTTTCCTCATCGTAATGTATGTACCTCTTCATGGGGCTCTCTGAAGGAGACGCGTGGTGTGGCACTTCGTCACGACAGACCTTCACACAACAGAACTGCGAACAGGATAAGTGCCTAGAATACTCGGCGGCAAAGGAGATCCAATACACATTTTGGTAACGATTTTCATTAACACGCGGATTCACTCCAGTGCTGGTCAACGAAGAGATCGAAAAGGATGTGTCCGCACATATTAATATACAACCCGGTCATACGCGTACCACATTGAAAATACGTTTGAAAACTGAGGGAGATTACATGCCCTACGACTACAACAAGGGTGCAACACACAAAACGCCCGACCAGTACCTAACACATTTCTTCTACACCTTCCCAACATAACATATATGAGACACACAAGACAGCTACCAAACTGTCTTGTTGAGCCTGTTACCCGCAGGGGAGATGTCCCTATATGCTGTCTGGGAAACCGTAGACACAGGTACTTTCTGACGCTACTACTGTATGAATTCATTGCTAATCTGTCTCAGACTCTTTTCTATGATAGAGATGGATTCGTTGTGTCATATTAAGAAAAAAAAAAAAAATGGCGGATGGAGTCTAGAAAATGATACCAAAACGAAGTGGTGGCACCACCCATCCTGATCCCACTCCGCCTACACCCAGCCTTGGACAACGCATCTGCGCGTCCTCCTTTTGCAAAACCCTCCAAAATACTGCTGTAGTCTGGAAGGAACCGTTCTCGTGTCGGTTCACCTTTCGCTGCGGTGCAGACGCCACTCTGTGTTTTTTTTCGTTTTTTTTCTACGCTCCTCTCTCGGGCACCCCTCTCACTGCTGTCACTGCTGTCACTGCTGTGACTCTTGAGCAACACAAGGAACAGGAACAGCAGGTAAGTGGCATGAAAGCGGAACCTCTCCACACAAGTCGCATTCTTGACGGGTGGGCACGGGTACGAAAGACAGACAGCGGCTGTTTGCTGGTTGTCAAGATTGTCCAGGCATTGTACCTCCTCCTCCGCCATAGTTGCTGTTGCCGCTTTCGGAGATACGAAGAGGCGTACTCGTAGCCCTCTTCAAAGGAAGCGCACGTACGTGTCGACCGACCTTTGCTGTTCATCACACCTCTACAGTATTTAGTGCAAGAGCTAGGAGGTGGATCTCTAAACTCGTTCGAGGGGGTCACTCTTCTCTGGCCTTCTTTGTCCACCAAGTGAAGAGAGTCGGTCAGCCATGACAACCTCTGACGACCTTTGGGACACGAAAAGGTACAAAATGGTTCTCCTGCCGTTTCGGGTTTCACTCAACACCCGCGCGGGCGGCACTGACAGAGACGACAGTTTCCTGAGTACGCCAAGAAGCTAGAGTTCTGCACAGCTTATCCGTCTCTTTCGTTTGGTAACTCCCAACTCTTCGAGTGTTCAACTCCCCCCTCAGAGTCGGCTGTCGTCCGCCGTTTTTTGTATAGGAGTATATTTTTTTCGGCAGTCAGTGTACTCTACAGATGAGGCAGAGTGACTTGGATGCTCGCGAACATGACCTATCCATTCCCAACTCGCTTTGACTTGTTAACTACCCACATCAAAGCGAAACAATTCAAGGATCTGTCCCAGACATCTCTCCTATTGCGATCTTGCTTCCCTGAGATACTGGATGGAGATATTATGTGCACGGGTGGAGAACAAGGCAGCGGGGAATGAAAGCGTTGTTGAAGTTATTATTCATTTTGTTTGGAACGAAACGTTCCCTGAATGTTGGTCTTGTTGTTCTGAAGAACTCGAAGTCACCATGGCAACAACCCTGCTACTTACTTCCTCGCTGAAGAGCTATTGTACCCTCTACCTAATTGCCCCCTCCCACCCGCTCTGAGTGCACGACCTGCAGCTCTTCCCAGCAAGTTGAATGGAACGCGTAGCCGTTCACTCTTTGGGGGGTGATTCTTGCTTGTACACACCGCAGCCCCTGGCTGTGGATAATTGCACGTGATTTTCATTGTACGCCTAGCCACCGTAAGAAGACAAGGCACAGAGCTCGAAGTCGCGGCCGTCGGTAATAGATAACGTTTCGCCCCACTCAGTTCACTCGCGTCGCGAGTGTGTTCACTCGCGGCGCCTGCGTTTTCACTCGCAGGGATCAGCCAAGAACATATATTTCAGTTTTCTTCGGTGGCACACAACGACGGCGTGACAACGACCATCGATTGCCCCAGACAGCTGTGTCACCCGAGTGACTTAGGAGAAGCCAAACGACACTTTCACAACACAAACACCACAATACCATGGGGTCGTCAGAGGTCTCGCAGCTGTGTGAGATGAACGCGGAGCTCTCTTCGTCCAAGGAGAACAACGACCGGACGCGGCAGGAGATCAGCGACATCAGGGTGATGATTGGCCTCCAGGAGAAGCGCCTCGAGAGCCAGGTGTCCGTGACCAACCGGCACCGCTCCGGGAAGGCGGCGGCCATGGCCGCTGTGGAGAAAAGGGTGCAGGGGGTGAGACCAACCGCTGTTGGTCATTCATTTTTCGTCATTCTTTCGTGCGCGGTTGTTATTTTTGTGCTCCTTGATGCGTTTGGCCGAGAGATTTGTTTGTGACGGCTAGCCGTGTCGGGATGCAAGAATGCGGCCCACTTGTCCCCTTAACTGCCACTGGCGCTCGTGTCCTCGTTGTCGTTGTTGTTGTTGTTGTTGCTGTTGTTGCTGTTGTTGCTGTTGCAAGAATGAAGTCCACTTGTCCCCTCGCCTGCCTTCAGTCGCCGGTGACGGAACTGTGCTTGCGATTGTCCCCCCCTGCCCCCTCACCTGCCCGAAATCGTGTCCTTGTTGCGATCGGCAGCTTTTCGACCTGTGCCTGAAAGTGGACCACATTGCCAAACAACACAACGAGGTTCACCAACAGCGCATGAAACGAGCGGCTGCAGGTTTGAACACATATGCTTTCTGGTTGCCAGGAGTAGTTGCCCTTCATGGATAACCATTACTCTGATGAAGGCGAAGGCCCCACCTTCAAAATGCGGTTCTGCGTCTCGCACTTCGACACGCTTGCCGAGTCACGTTGAATTGCGCTTCATGGTCGTCTGCCTGGCAGTATATTGCATCCCGGTTTGGCAGGAGTAGCAAGATCTACAGTCCAAGGCCAGTGTTCCCTCCTCCCCCGCAAGGTATTAATGATGCGAACACCGTAGAAAGTACATGACGCTAAAAAACTGGCATGCGACGCGTGTGCAGTGATTCAAGCGTGCAAATCTGTATCACCACCATGTCCCAACACCAATCAACCGGGAACAGAATGATAGAACCTTATCGATCCATCACATTAATTTACGGTGACCCCCACCCCCCCCCTCGCGCTCAAAGGCGTACAACAGCACCAAGAAGGAAGAGCTACCGAAGTGCCCCGCGAGCTCCGGGTAGAGCTGGAGCGGCTGGAGCGCTCCGTCGCGAAGGAAATCGAAACGAAAAAGGCACACCAACACTCGTCGTTGCGGTTGTCGACCGGAGACCATGACAGCTGACTTTGGTACCTGTCTCTGCACCCTTGGTTGTGAAATTATCGGGAAAAAGCGCTTGATGGTTGGAAACTTCTTTTATTTTGCTTGAGAAGTTTTGAACATGGTCGAAAATTTCACAAGCATAGCGCTTCATTCCGTGTGCTCGTGCGTGTACTCTGCGGGGTACAGGCGGTCCGTTTGGCGGAGTTTTATGGGGTTTTCGCCTGACTTGGGTGCTGTTGTGCTACATGTACAGGTTAGAGTCAATCGCCGATTCATTTCCCGTCCTCGCAATCGACCAACACGCATTGTCGCACGGACTATATGCATGCCATCCCGGAGGGGTAGCACACGTCTGTCTCGTTGTGTGTTCCTTTCCCCACCTGACAGTCGCGTCTCAAAGTTTCACAACCTCTCGCTGCAGGGATTTGTTCACAAGCACTCGAAATCCGAACGGTTCCCCCTCGCTACGCTCCGCTGTATTCCCTCCACCGCATTGTAAAATCGTCAGTCGAAATGATCCTGCCACGTTGTTGATGTTCTTGTTCGCTTTCGAGTTGAACCCGGAAGCGGCCGTGGTCATCTGATGATCACATGCTGGTCGAACAGACCTTCTCTTAGCTTCTCTTACCCGCCCACGATCAACCATTGCCCGGGCTAAAGGCGCGAGCAGGTGTACGAGGAAAGCTATCCGTTAATTAATGTGACCGTTCGAGTAGGTTCGAGCTTTTGGAAGCGTATTCGTTACTTCGTTCACGCATCGAGCGACTGCTGTGTGTGGTGGCTGATTCCACAGTAACCTAGTTTGTGTGTGCGTGTGTGTTTTCTGCCAATTTGTTGCTGTCGGTCCCGGCAGCGAGAAGAAGAGCAGACGAGGTACCTCCCCGCAACGATCCTGGCCAAGGAAAACGAAGCGGCAGAGCTGACCAGCAGATCCGAGGAGCTAGACGTGGAGATCAGGGTGCAGCGGGAGGAACAAATCGCCGCTGAGATGGCATACAACTCTTCCAATACGGTGAGCGGATCCCCTTGGACTTCCACTACCACCCAACGGGACCGCATTTCTCGCACCCCTACCCCGATGGTGATGATGCTTCGTGTTCAACTTTCAGATTTGCGCAACGATCTCTGCCCAAGAACCTGGCGATGGTTCTCGAGAATGCGTTGTTCAGATGCGGGAGGGTAGGTATCTATCCCCCGCTAGTTGATGCCTTGGGTTGTTAGATGCAGAGGAGAACAAGCAAGGTTGTGGGTCAAGCACTCCTCAGCCTCTTTGGAAGTGTCACAGGGGGTTTTGTGGTGGTTTTGTGCTTCCGGCATTGATTCCAACCACCACAAACAAAGGTTCGAGACACCACGAACGAACTCCAACAACCTGATACAAAGACCCAAAAAGACTCACTCCAAACGTTTCCTGCAACCAGCCCCGAACGATTGCCTCCAACTACCATCCGTCATGACCGCGTCCTGTATTCATTAGCAAGGCCTTCTACGCAGGAAAAAATAGAAAATTCCCATATCGTGCCTTCCTCCCGCCTCGGTTCTTCGCCTGCCTTTCTGTCTTCCTGCCTGCTTTTCTCTTGTCCCCGTTCCTGTCGACATGCGGTTCTCGCTCACGAAATGCCTCGGTGTGTCATCATCTGCGGACGCACACTATACCACACGACAGCTCTTTCAGGATCTCAGACGCGTGAAGCCGGAAGTCCTAGACCAGATAGAGACGTCCCACCAAAACCACGAGCAAAACGCTCTTGAGATGAAGGAAGCCAGAGCGGAGGTCGAAGAAGCCGAGAGGGCTGACCACGGCAAGCACTTGTTGTGACTACTGCCGTGACCTCGATCGTGAAGAAGCTTTGCATCACCCCGACCCCCGCCCCCTCACGTTTTTGCCCACGATAAAATACGTTTTGTATTGATGGTGGTGTATCATTGGAGAGTTATGAGGTTAGAGGTGCGAGAGCAGAATACGCCATCCGACGGAGTTTCAGGCCGAGGCGGAAGCAGCTCGGCGGGCTGGCTAACATGGTAGATGTTGCGCTTGGTCCACTATTAGCAAATCATGCCTACAACAATCAGAAAATTAGCTGTCGCTTTCCACCCTCCCTCTAGAGTATGTTCGATATGGCTTCGCCCAAAGGTGTGATGATCCAAGCGAGAGTGGGGACGTGGTTTCTAAAGCATACCGGCAGCAGCCAGTCTCCCAAGTCTTTGGTTCCAACTTGTCACATTCTTCAAACTCGATGGGATGCACGGAGGGGCTTACATCGAGCAAAGAGCTGGCCAACGTCCGCGAGTAATTGCAGAAGTCACAGTGGTAGACAAAAATCGTGAACTTCAGGTGGAACAAACTATTTGTCTTCCAGAGCGTGGGGTCGCTGTGGGTTGAGTCGTCCCTCCCCCCTCCCCCCCCCGTCCCCGTCCCCGCTGTTCAGAGCTTGCGGTGGTCGACGGTAATCAGAACAAGTCTCTCAACTCCGACAAACATGCTGAGGAAGCCAGGCTGGCTCAGCTTGAGGTTGAAGACAACCGCCTGGTACGCTTTACGTCTTGTTGATGTTGTGGTTGTTGCCGTTGTTGGTACTATTGATTTTGTTGACGTGTGCTCTTGTTTCTGCGAAGCATACGTACAACCGCGAAGGACTACCCCCTTTCGATGCTGTGGCTGTTGCTGTGTTCGGCCGTTTGTTTTTTTCGCGGACTGTTTGTGCAGACTGCCGTGGAAGAGGAGCAAGCCGAGTCGGCTCAGACGACGCAGGCGCTGGCCGAAGAGATGAAGGCAATCACCCACGAGAGCATGCAGGACGACCCAAAGGTGTATGTTGAGAGTAGTTACGCAGTGGTTCACGTACCGACCTCGCTTCAGATCTGTGTGGTTGATTGCCACACAACCAAGCGTCCATTTTCTCACTGTTCTTCAATTTTCCGAGCATTACCCGCGATGCTAGGAAGCAACAGTTACGTTCTTCTGATCAGTAGAAGCGTTCGTGGCGTTCAGAAGAGCATCAACAATTTGTCCCGTCGCCCACAAACCACCTCGGTGACGGACGTTTATGTCCGCTGAAAAACGGCCACTTCTGTGTGCGGTGCGACTATTAGTTCTGGTTGCAAGTCTCTCCCCGTGTGTTCCCTGCGCCCGATTTCCTGCATGTCCTCCCCCCAGTCGGACAGAGTCTGGGTCACACAGGGACTTAAACGGGTAATTGATGCACCGTGTTGCGGAGGATGAAATACACAATTGAACGAAACGTTGGGTGCGCCTGGTACTACAAGGACGGTTCCGACTTTAGCATCAACTACAAGAACGAAATACAATCCAAAGAGAGCAGGAAACGTTCTCAACAGGGCGACCCTCCGCTGCTTGCTCGACCGCAAGCTTGCACTTCATGCGGGACTTGTTGTCTTGCACCCTGCGTGCGCACACACGCATCGTTCGCATTAAAGGGCACCCCCCGGAACATGCAGTACACCCCCCACTTCCCCCCGTACATGCCAACTACATCTCAAGTTTCAAGAATTGCTTTCGTGTACCTGGCTTGTGATCACGGGCTATTGGTTTGGCCGTCACATAGTATGAGAAGCAGCAGCATGTAGCAGCAGCACATGTAGCAGCAACAAGAACACGAGCAGCAACGACAACGACTTCAAAAACGACAACAACAACAACAACAACAACAACAACAGGTGCTCGGGATGCGAGCCTTGCTGCAGGAGAAGTTTCAGAAGACGAGGCTTCTCCTGGAACAGCGGAAGAAAGACGACGAGGTGTTCGCCACCCACGGCGTCAACGAGCCCGACTTCGGGGATCGCAAGAAGGAGCACCACGCACTCACCTCGAAGACAGATTCGATTCGGCGAGTCGGGACTCAATGGATGTTTACGTACCGCTACCTAACGCTGCGATAGAGTTTCCTCCCGAATTACTAAAGACCCGTCCAAAGGAAGAGGGAAGAAGTTCGTTATTGCTTTGCGTAGGTGTGTTTTTGGTGTTCAATGGTTGGTCTTCAAACTTCCGCGTATCAGGTTGTTGTTGTCGTTGCTGTTGCTGCTGTTGTTGGTTTTGTCCATCAGGGCTCCAGATCATGTCGAACCCACAGGCGCACCTCACTTTGCATGGCGTTCCTAGTGCCTCGCGCTTCCGCTGATGCATACATACGTGAAACGTGCTGCAGTAGTTCTGCTTGTTGATTTTGAGGCTTCCAAGTGATTCCCTTTTTAAGGCTTCGAATTGCTTCCCCCTCCCCTCCGTATTGTATCCCTTCCCCTTCTTCTCTCTTTTGCTGTTCGAATTTGGCCCCCTGGACAGATCGGCCCACGCCAGCGCAGAGGCCCGCAAAGCGGCGCATGAAGAGGAGAAACGCCGTGTCGCGGAAGAAACGGCAGCGGAGAAAGCCTCGATCGGGGCGGAAATTTTGGAGGAAGACAATGTGGGTGTCTCGGCCGTTTGATCCAAGGGCCGGACGCCGTGCTACGTATTTGTTGCCGTTGCGTAGAAGAAGCTGTGATGTTGGCGACTTGAGAGATGTGTCGTCTTTCGCGATCGTTGCAGGGCGAACTCCTTGTTCTAGTTCTTGGTTTTGACATCGAAAGAGTTTTGTTCTCGCTACGCCAAGGGAAACCACGTTCAACGAAACACACGCCAAGGAAGTTGTTTATCTCCAGGCATTGAACCAGAAATTTCTTGTTTTTCATCTCTCAACCGGCCGATCTGATCAACGAAGCACGAAACAATAGTGGTAATACGACCGATGAACTACATATCACTACTCTAGGAACACGCTCGCGTAGTCGCTGAGTGCAAGGAGACCTCCGCCGCCGTCGCCGACAAGGAGCTCTCGGTCGCTGGCAAGAAGGCGGAGCAGGCGTCTGCCGAAGGTGGGGGAGAGAGAGGTTGTGAGACAGGCCAAGAATGCGTAGTTTAAAGGTTTCTCCCAGGATGTACACCCGCAAAAGGCTATTTTTCGGTAAAGATGGACAGCGAGAGAGGGACAGGGAAAGGGAGGGAGAAAATAGGAGGAGAGATGGAGAGAGAACGAGAGAGAGATGGAGAGCGAGATACGGAGGGAGAGAGAGGAGAGTGGGGGGGAGGGAGAGTCAGAGAGCGTGGGGGGGGGGGGGGGGGGGCTCATGCC